TCGTGTGAATTAATAATATTTGATAAAATTTCTAAATTTACGGTGCAATTTTTTATTTATTAACAAAACACACAGTTGGTAGGTATATTCATAATTTAGATTACATATAGTGTAAAAAAAACTTATATGTTCAACTATTTTCATTTTAAAATTGTTTTATTTCTAAGATCGTCGCCTTTACGTACTATTGATATGACTTCTGTTCAGAAAGTTCATTATTATATTAATATTTGCTTATCGAAATATCAGATATTCTTTACACATTTTATTAAATTCCTTCTAACAGTTATTCTTATAAATTAAACTACCATTTGTCCCAGACGTGTTTGTATTCAAACCTTCAAAAAATCTGTATCTCTTAGTGCTTTTAGTGCTTAGGACCTTACGACCTAAGCACATCGTGGCCTACGTTTAATTTTATGAACAAATTTCATTTATCCTATCTATTAAATAAATCTTAACATTATAAGAGTGTTTTAAAGTCATTTTAGTGTTTACAATAAGCGCTTAAATGTATAAATTGATAGTAGATAAATAAATAATATTTGAACATATTTATCTCTAAATAATATACCTACAATACTTACATAGGTCCTTAATATCATGAATGATAAATGAACGCACCTAATACTCATATAACCTTCCTGAGATCCTAAACAATGTTGGAATATCTTCAATCTATCAAACAAACGTTCTATACGGCTCCTCAATACTCGTTGATCCATTTGGAAACCTCCTGGGACCGTATACTTTGTTTTAAATTAATGACATCCATATCTCCTGATCCGAGGGAATAGTCCTTCGTATTTGTCATATAGATTACGTACTTTTTCTGTTTCCAACATCAAATTTATTTGATTTTCTTTTATCTTGTCGTCATTCAGAAAATAGGCTTATTTATTTACTGGTACCAATATTATAATTTTAATATACCTATATTATAAGTATGAGTTGAGATGTACAGAAAAACTAGTAATATGCAATTTAAATGCTGAAATAAATTAAAACTTTAATTATACAAAAATGACAAGCAGATCTTCAACTTATTTACACAATCACTTATTTAACCATATGAGTTTCACTATTTTAAACAACTATTTTCTGTTCAATGTAAAACGAACCATATTGGAAGAAAATTCGACCGATTAAAGAATAAATTCGCTTAATCGGGGAGCCTGATGTCATGGTGAAATTTATTCTCAGTGATAGGGGAGGTTAACGAGCTGTAGGTGTTCCCCGTTAAACCTTCCATAAACTGCGCTAATGTGACGTCAGATTGCATAAGTATAGACCCGTGAATAGCGTAAAATGAATAAGTCCTTTGCAAACACGCCGGTCAAGAGCGACTTAGACTCTCTCTTCACTGATATTCTACTTTACTCCCTAAAATAAAAAAGTAAGTATCTGTACATACATAAATAGTCAGTCTATTGATGTGACAATTTGTTCAGATATTTTAATGTTGTTTAAGTGCTGAGTAACATTTAAATAAATTATTTATTTAAGCTAATTAATTAATTATAAATGTTAAAGTTATTTACTCACTAGTACAAATTTTAACCATAAACCAATAATCCTGGACATTTCACACAATGTCATCTAGTCGCAACCTAAGTAAAACTTGTGTTATGAGTACTAAACAACTGATGGAAATACTTAATCACTTTTTTTATGTGGTTAACATACATAAAAACACCATGTTCCATACACACTATAATACACTTGAATATAAATCTTTACATCGTGCGATGAATCAAACCCGCGACCATCCGAAGGAGGCGGTGTGCTAAAGCAATAGACCAACAGGAATGTCATAACATAGATGGTCTATAATATGATTTAAAATTGCTTTGTGCTTATTTAGATTAACTATAAAATATATTTTAATTATCTGTTTACTTTGCGATCACAACCATTATTATATACCATATACCATATTCTATACTATATACCATATTCTCGTCCATAATCCCATGTAGTATTCAAATAATAGTAGTCGAGGTAAATTAATTTATGATGCATAAGGATACATTTACTACGTCTTCTCATTTGATTTATGAGCAGTAATCAATTATTTGTGTGTACTCTAAACTAATCTGTATATACGCAAATTAATTTAAAATAATGACAATATCAATATATTAATATATTTCACTTACAAAACAAATCAATTGTTAAGGAATGATTTTTGCATATTTTTAACTTTACATAACTTAAAACACACATTCCTTTCGGAATTATCCTAGACATGATTATATCGTATGTAACTGCTACTGTTGTATTTCTGTATCTCTTGCCAAAAACTCGTCTACCGAAAACCACCAGAATCTATTCATACTAATTGATCGTATTACTCACTTTAGAGGTACATACTATGGACATTGTAATTTTAGAAAAGGAAATATAATTGATAGACTAGAAAAAAATAAAACGATATCTATCTCACTATGTTCACAATAATATCACCGGACAGTAGGGTAAGATGGAAGGGAGGTAAAAAATTATGGTGTGGAAAGGTACTGTATGAATAAATATTTATTTACTTCAACTTCAATGCACACAATACAAAATATACACCATGCGACATTTTCTACCAGTCAACCATAGGTAGTGCATAGAATAATTGTTAGCAGTTAGCAAATGCAACAAAATATAAACACAACGAAAAATAATATAAGAGAGAAAATATACAATAATATATAACATAAATTATTGTATATCTATAAATAAACTTAAATATATACCAAATAGTCACAGAACTAAACAACTGAAAGTAAGAACTTTTGATTTGATTTGATGTATTGTAATTAGGTAGAGTATATGACATTCATGAATTTTCGATAACAAATTAGGGTTTGCTATTTCCAATAACATAAAAAAGCACATAAAATTACAGTCCAGAGAATGTGTAAGTAACTTACGAGTAAATTTTATTACACATAAAATAAAATGAAGGGACAAGTACAAGTTAACTTGGTCTACGATCATCGAGCTGCTAATGGGCTTACGCACTTTCATTGTTATTGGAACTCTAAATCGTTACCCGTTAAAGAATATAGGTCTTCAGAAAGGAAACAAAAGTAAAAACCTTAAAAAATGTCATTCTCTTGACTTATTTTATTACAACGTCAATTTTAGACAATAGTCGGTTCCGTAGCAATTCTTCGCAGCTGAAATTGTTTCAAATAATTTAATTTAAAAAAGAGAAATGCTGTAAAAACTATATTCATTTTTTATAAATGAAAATATTTTTTTTTTAGTGTATTTGGTACATAATAATTGCAAAAACATGTATACTATGATAGGACTAAATAAAACTAGAGATCTAGTAGTCAAGGGTACTATATATATATATTTATATAATCAATTATAATATACAATGGTATTTCATTGTTCTCATATTAACATGTTCAATTTGTTGTCATACTCAGTTACACCATCTTTTCATTAATATCAAGCTATAATTTCAACAAGTACTTAGGTACTGTTCGTAACAATATATGGTAAAACCAATAAATCTGAAAACCAGATTTTACAGTAACTTAATGTACACCTAAAGAGCAAGTTACCTGAACAGTACAGTATTGTTCACTCAAAGCATATTGATTTAGGAGTAAAGTAACACTCTATCTTGAACGGGAGTTCCAATGAGCCGAAGTTGGCAATCTATTGCGAAACTTTAACGTAAAATTACATCTTTACCGCTGATATTAAATTTCTGTTGTCTTTGGTAATTTATGTCGGCCTCTTGGGACCTTATTACTCTGCAACATACTGATTCGTCTATTGACTATTGGTTATTAATGAAACGATTTAGCGTCTGCGAGGAGAAATCAAAGTATAGGAATTCTTGTTAGTGATTTGTCGAGCTTAGGCAAGTATATTAAAAATATATTACACCTGGGAATAGTCCCAGCCACTAGCAAGCGTAATCATAAATATTTTCATCGATGCAGCTGGGTTCAATCTAGGTAGGTAAATTTTGATATTGATTTCATTACGAATCTGTAGGTAACATATAAAGTAGTTTTTTTAACAAGTTTCTGCATAGTTCTGCTACATATTCTTTTGTAAATTACAAACCTCTTATACATTTTTCAGATCATGTATTATTTTTAATTTATTAAGATAATTTAATTTGAAAAGAACTACTTTTAATTTAAATAATATAATTAACTATGTACAAAACAAATTACAGCAGCTATTTGACGAAATCCTAAGATACTTAATTAATTATATTTTTATATTGACTAGGAAGGACAGTTTGAAATCCATTATACATTAAATGGAGATTAGATTCATCAAGAAGTAGGTGATAGCGCCATCGGCAGGTGCCTCGAAACTTTCTTAATAAAAACGAAATTGAATCTTCAAAAATTAATTCGCTTCTGTTTTTTATTTCTAAAAGAGATTAGACTGTAATGCTAAGACGATATTAAGATGTATTACGGATATAATTGAAATTATATAAACAAATAACATTAAAGTCGTAAAACATTGTGATTGGCATATTATTATGCCTGTAGTGCCTTATGCATGTATCTGTGAAATATTTTATTTAATATGAATAATACCATTGTATTATAAATTATTGTAGGTTTTATATACCAAGATTTATTTAATATATTATATATGGATTGGATATATATTTACGACTTAAGTATATACTAGCTGTGCGGATTCACCCGAGAGAAATTTATACCCTATGTATTTTTCTGGTGTAAAAGTTGTATTATTGCAAAGTTTCATTAAAATTGTTCCAGTAGTTTTTTGCGTAAATGAGTAACAAACATGCATCCATACATCTATACACTACTCACAAACTTCCGCGTTTATAATATTATTAAAATAGTAAGTAAATATATTTTGAATAGATATTTTGTGTATACGCATAATTTTAAAATTATTACCTTTAAAACTATTTACAAACCCCAATAAACTTACAAATTATATCAAAACAAAACTCCTATGGAGACAATATAACCGTATCATTCATCTGTTTATCCGCCCCTTTGATAAAATACTGCAAAAATAGAATAAGTCATTCTTGCAACCTAAAAATAAACATTTAAGTTATCAGAAAATAATATACTTACAAATAAATAAAAATTCAAAGTTTTAATGTTAATGCTAAATGTTATTGTTATATTTTATTGTACATACATATACTTCCATAGTTCCGTACAAATAAAATTTAAATCTTGTACGAGCTACACATAGAAACTTTTTTACGTGTTGTATAGAATATTAAATTAATAAACATATATAACGGACAGCCGTTAATATCCGTTACAGAAAATAGCTGCTGGCAATTCAATAAAATACCTATATAAATCCTACAATGTTTTTTTTGACTCGCGAATAATTATTCATGTTTATAAAATTAAAAAAGTATTCTCACCGAGACAAAAGTTTCATATGACAAATCTTGTATGCCAAACGCCTTGAGTATTAAAGGCTTCTGTGCCTGCGCGCAGCTTATTAACACGAGCCGTCGGATATCACGACTGGAGTCTTCTAACTTGCAAAGGTGCCATCCGCAGTAGAAAATTGAATTCGATAATAATGATGCCTGTGCAGATAGATGGATAAGTCGTTTATTCCTTTCTTACATATGAAGTATTATATAAATAAATTATTATTATAAATACATGCAGTGTATGTGTATGAGAGATATTTTCAAGATTAACTATTTCAAACTGAAATGGTTATGTCCTATTTTCGTCGTTATGATTTGACTAAAATTATGAACAAACAAACGGTTATTCGAATAACAACTGATTTAAAAATCAAATATGTATTGCAATTGCTTAATAACAAAGTTTAATAATGGATTTATCGTTTCAATTAAATTTTAATAACTTTGGCAATAAACTATAGAAATAAAGAGGAAACTAATGGAAATAAATTATTTGACTCAGATTGCGGGACATAATCCAAGTCAAATAAAATTTAACTCATATAAACATAACTCCCAGCAGTACCCTACCAACTAAAGTCACCGTGAAGCCAAAACCAGCACCAAATCTGATTGTTTCTTCCATCTTCGCAGTACATATAAGACACGGGTTTCTTACGTCTTCGGACTACTTCTTAAATTTCCTTTGTTTATACTTAAGATTACTTAATTATTCTTAAGATGTAGTTAGTAATATATATTTTATTACTACTAAACCTATCAATCTTCACATTCCTCATAAGAATTAAAATAAACGAGATTTATAAATATTTTACAGAGTATCAAATTATTAACCTGATAAGTTACTTCCCCAGCATTCCAAAGATTAAGCGCCAGTAACAAAAACAAAGATCCGACGAAAGTATAGGTCATAAAAGCATTTATTAAATCCATGTGAGGTGATAGCTGAAAAAATCGAGAAATCAAATATTAAAGAAATTTATAATAAAATTAATAATTCCGTAAACAATTAGCTACTACAAGCAAGGCCAGTAAAAATACCTTCTATGCAATATCACAGATAACATTTTATTCGGTAATATTAAGATAAAATTAGATATGAAGATATGTTACAGTTCCAATTAATGTAATTGATGTCTAATTTAATTTATTATATAACAATGATGAACAATTTAATTTATTTTCAGGCTGAAAACTGTATACACAGACATAAATCGAGTATATGTACTTACAGTATTGAATGTATGAAATAGGAATGCAGTATGCAACATTTAACACTTTTACCATTCACTCGCATAACTAGCATAAAGCTATAACATACCATATGGTAAACGATTACCATAACATATGGACGCCTGAAAAACCAGGGGTGTCACGCGTATATTGCAGACCCGTAAGAAACCTTAAAATACCGTTCTTGAAAATCCCCACGCATGTAGTCTCTAGAGAAAACCACGGCAAACCCCACCGATCGATCCATCTCATTGAAACGGGTTTGAAATTATGTTGGCGCAAGCCCAGGTTCGGATCCATGGCTGTGCCGTTCTTGATGATGTATTCGTCGGGCAAAAGTTGATCTTCAACCATTCGCCCTTCCGCGAGTTTGCAGTGCCCTCTGCGCTTGCTCCCATTTCGGAGGCGAAGCAGGTAGTAAGGTCATTAGAACAATAATAGCAGAGAAAAAAGCACTTTTAAATAACCTAAACATTCAAGGCTAGAAGTCAATACATGTGCAATAATAATTTAACCAGTTACTTACCGCTAAACGTAACAAAAGTAAAACCGCAACAGCAGAACTTTCGCAAACTTGGAGTGACATTATTATTCCGAAAACACGATTTATTTCGTCTGCAAAACTAGATAACAAAAGTAAATTTAAAATCAGTACCGACGTACACTACGACAATTTTTAGTTGTCTAGTCAGCTAGAAGTTTTATAGGCCAGGACTAATTTGACCGACGAGATAAATAAACCGACTCAGTGCTGTAATTTTATGAATTCTGTTATATTTTAATTATCGTTTTTTCCCAAGTACTACAAACTACTCAAATACTTGCTGCTATTAAATCTTTTAACATCCAGGCATCCAATAGACTGATACACCACAAGCAAGCGATGTCGCTGGCAAATGGCCACTTTTGGTATTTGCAACTTTTTGATCACTGCATCGCTTGCAAAATTGGAGTATTTTCAGTTCTGCAATGCTTCGATAGCTTCATCTCTTTTTCTTGAATGTTCACGTATATATACTATTACGCTAACGATTCTATCAAATTCTGATATAGTCATTTTCACATTATAAATCTGGATGGCGACCGTTGGGATCGCTATTACTTGGATATTAAAAGTCAACATTTCAATAGAGAGGCCATACATACATGTACTTCTTCTACGCGTGGATTTGTAATTTAGTGGTCCTAAATGCTGGACCGATTTGGATAAAATTTTGTGTGCGCATCTGACTGGAAAAGCAGCGCCACTTATATGATATATATGTATCGTTAAAGAACATTATTTACAGTTAGCTTTCAATGTTGGTTTACTCCATTTTGTCTAAAAACAGAGTGCTTTGTGATACTAAAGTATACCACTAATAACGTCATCTATCAATATTATAGACAGGACTCTTTTAACATATGTGGTAGGTATTTCAAGTTTTACTTACTATAACAGTTTTTGGTGTATTAATATTCCCTCTAAGCAACCAGCTTTTAGCTTCTTTACCGCCATTTTTTTATCCATTGTCAATATATCATGGTCAAATTCCTCTCTTATTCGTTCGTAGTGATGACACAGTGTGATAAATTTATATGCCATAATGATCAGATGGGTGATAGGCAGACAGTCAGCAGACATCATCGGTAACATCATATACAACCAAGTAATATAGAAAAATACGCGGAAAAATGATGCAACGCTTGTATTATCTTCATAATAAGGTAAGTAAGTGACAACAGTGTAAAATGGCGCACCTAGAAACAAATATTTTCATTTATACATATATTAAGAATTGGATCATCTTCATTTTTACACTAACACTATTTTAGAATATGAAACATATAAAACGACAAATTAGGTTCGTCTCAATGAATGAATATGGATGATGAGAACTTTATATTTACTTTATTATAATATCGAAATTCAAGCACTACTAGACCTAAATTATCTGACGATTAAGTATAATATTTTACTTAACCAACTCCTACCCACCGCCAAAATAATATACCTAGGTACTAAAATCACGTTCTTATCAGCGCAGTATATATATGCCAATGTCACATTGTTCTTATGATTATGAAATTGACTTAAACGTGCCATTATATATTTATTGCTAATACTAATAAGCCAAATTGACCCAACATTTTCATTGAGTTTTGCCTCTTCAAACCCTCTTTCTGAAAGACTACTTAATAGAAAATCTACACAATGTAAAGGTTTGTTTGATGTAAAGAAACAACTTTATTAGATTATTTTACCTAACTGCATTACAAGCTATAATTAAATATATAATTATAATAATAATAATGATTTAAATGAATTGCTTCTTGAAACACATTCCTATAGGTAGACTGCAAAATATATCAAGTTCATAAATTATTGGGAACCATTATGTAATAATATTTTCCCCGAAACAAAAAGGAATGTTATAGACATTATTGTTGTAGGGATATTTCTAAATTTTTATTTTGTTTATAAAATGTATTTTTAATGAATGTGTTTTTCTTACTGCTTACCTTCTACAAGCACTCTCCTTGCGCTCGCAACGCCGTACGCTGACAACGATAAATACACTGATATTACATATGACATAATTCCAATTTTTACTTTCAACTCCTGTCTTCTCATGTAATGTTTTTCTTCGAATTTCTTACCGACAGAGGCCATTTCAAAGTTTAATTTCCTTATAGATTTTTTATGATACAATAAAAGAGCCATTTTTGTTAGTACAATATTGTGTATAGCGAAAAACATGTTGGCCGAATTCTTTTCCACTTCTGGAAAGTTACCGAACAACGCTGCGAGATTTTCAAGAAAAATCATTGTAGTATAAATAGAAAAAGAGACTACAGTATACAACTTATACTGTATTGTTTCATTGTATTTATTTTTATACCAATAATTTCCAGTGCCAGCGAAATACATATATTTGCAAATATCCTTTAATAAATTTTTCGTATTGTAAAACATTTTGTTAATGAATTAAATAATAATAGAAATTCTTGAGAATAAATTTGATCGTAATGTCCTTACTATAGTAATATATCAAAGAAAATGAAGTATTCGAAACAAAAAACCGTACTTAATTAGACGTTTTCATAATACAGCTGTTAATTAGCCGTTGAACTTTTTACACGATAATAGAAAAAAATAGTAGACAATGAAATATTTAATGAGAGAACAATAGAAATGAATTTATATAGTTTATCTCATAATTACATTTTGATGGAGTGCCACGAGCTACACAGGTAAACTTGTTTTCATGTTATTAAGAGTATTAAATTAATAATCATATATAACGGACTGCCATTAATTTCCGTTACAGAAAATACAGAAAGTTTTGTATTCGTGACATATTGTTCGTGGTTAATTAATTAGGCAGTTAATTAATGTCAAGGGTGTTACATGTATACTCAATTAAGTCCCATATTCATATAAATGACGTTTTGATTGCTAGTCCGTAATAGAATTCTATGTGCCATATTTGTATAAATCAATCTAAATTTACCTTAATTCATTACAGTGACAGTGAGATAATTACAGTAGTGTTTTTATCTACTTATGTATTTTGACTACAACGCCATTTTGATAGAAATACATCAATTTTTAAACTCGTCTCTAGTACTCACACGGATTCCGGAGACTCTTCGCTCCTCCTTCAAATTCTATACCCTTCCGATCGATCATGATCATGGTTGACCAATTTAGACTTATCTATATTAACTTTCAAATTTTGTTGCAAAATGCTATACATATATGCTATTTAACTTACATGAAGTAAATATACATGCAAATAGATAAAAATAAATAAAATAAATTAGTTTTTTAGGATATAACTAAACCCGTTCCTTTGGATACATATGAATGCATTTATTAATAAAATTGTAACTGTATATGATACCAATACCTTTGGTTTACTTTTGATTTTTTTAATCAATTACATATCATTCACCCAAAAAAGAACAATGTAATCCATCGCAGCTCATCGAAGCAGCATATCCAAAACCGCAGCATTGCCTCTTTAAATAGTCATACTTACCTTCTGGGCAACATAGCCACCAGCTCCCGGATTATTATCTCGATGAGCAGCGCTGCTTCTGGAGGGTTCTGAGCTCCATGGGACGTCTCCACGGCAAATGGTGAAAACCAATACGACAATCCAAATTCGAATATTTACGCCTCATTAAAATTGCCGCCTCCATTGCTGCCGCTCTAAACTGAGGACTATCCAGACACATAACATCGTGCCAATTTCACATTTGTATTTATAAGTATAATTGTTTGTATCGGTCGAGTGTTTCCTAATGTATATTATGACTGTATTTATAAAGAAAATGTATACAAGTATTGGTACCAATTGTTCAATACCCATAACAAAGCACTGCTTATCTTAAGACTAGATGGCGCTGTGTGAATTATTCAGGGCTATTATTATATTGCCTTTATTATTATCCTATAGGGACTTTATTTATTGTTGTCGCTTGATTACTATGAATAGATAGCGATGTACAAATATCCATGCGAATGAAGTCGCGGCCACTTGTTCTTCAGAAAGTTTTCACTCACACCAGAACACGTTGTCAAACTGAAATTCATTTTCAAAAAGAAGAGCTTCTTGAAGTTTATTGGAATATATACGCGACGAGAAGGTAACCACCTGTAGCTATATTAGTATAGCTAATGTATAATTTTTGTGAAATCACTGTATTTGCAAACATTAATAGGTAAATTAATAGGTCAGCCACAAAACTATTCAAATTCAAACATAGCCTCCTTACGTTAAAAAACCACTATACGCGATATTAATACTAACAGAGTTTATTTCACATAACCTGGTGACTGTAATAGACTTGTCGCGTTCAGGGTGATAACCTGTTATTTAAGCATAGACAAAAAACAGGTAAATATTAAGCAATTAAAAACCGGCCGTAATGCTAAAAAATGTATGGAATCAAAAATGGGGACAGAAACCCACAAAAAAATTGTTTCAGAATTTGTTAAAAAAATGCGCAATTCTATTTTGTAGTACTTTTCGCCTTTTAACTACAGGTTAAAAGGCGAAAAGTACTTTAATTGAGAACCTACTCTTTGATAATAGAAATCTGACCTCAACAAACATCTACGAGTACATGAAAAAACCATTTTCCCATATTATGTGTATATACGTGATGTGTTAATTCCGTAAATTTCAGAATCTAAAGGCGCATTTACCTGTAAAGAGAAATAAAGAGGTAACAAGGAAAAACACTTAGAATCGGGCTACTATTTTATGCGACCTGATCACGTAGAAGAAAATCTGCCTGACCAATAATATACCTTTACCCTTTACCCAATTCGTATTCACCTGAAGTGTACACACATGGATAACAAAACTGTTGGAGAACCAATTGTAAACAGCTTTAACGCTTTTATGGGGATTAGTTCTAGAGCGTCCTAATTTACATGTCTATTAAGTTCCGGATTGGAAAGGCTTCATTAGAAAAGTTTTCAATATTATCACGAATGTTTTCTTCATGTCTCTTTGCTTTATAAATTATAAGTAATTACGATATATATACCAATATTTTTAGTCGCCCTTGAACATGTAAATTTTACTTTATCTGGGGTTTTATACACGAAGTACCTAAATTCTTACCTAACTTACAACAACTAACAAACACAAAAACTTTTAAAGTACAATAGTATATTTATAATAATATGAGTAGAATTACAAGACTAATTCAACATAATGTAACGAGCTTGTAGGCTTTATATGACTATAAAACAAATACAAAATAAGCAAACATGTTAATTTGTACATGCCCACATGAAATACAAAAGCTATCGACTCCGAACACTAGGGATTACAATTGTAAGGATACCTACTCAGAAGGGGTTCCCGACAACTCCGACGTATCCCAGTTGGATGCCTATTCATTGTAGTACGATAAATCACGGCGGTACACCCGAGGAAACTGGTTTAATTCAGGCTTTGTCGATAGCACATCCACCTATGCATAAATAACACCTAAACACAAATCCCTAATGTTACGTAAATATTTCTTAAGAGGGTTTTACCTGTAGTTCCACCGCAACTCTACGTTACCTTTCAAAAACTCTAAACATTTAAATACATCATATTGTATCATTTTTATGTAAATTGAATGGAAAACACGCTATTTTTAACAATTACAAGAACTATATGTAAACGTACCTAGAAACGTATTAAAAAAAAATATTACCTTTCATTGTCTTTGGTCTTTCAAAAGCAGATTTATTTATTTATTTTTAAGATTTAATAAATGTTGAAAAGATAAAAGTTAATAAATAAAATATAATGTCACTATTTAAATTAATCAGTATTCCTAATCAAATTACCTATTTATTATTTATTGTTTCAGTCGTAATATTCCAAAATATCACTAATGAGCTATAATTCCAACCAGGGAAGATTTACCACTTAACAGGAACAGTTAAGCGAGATAGATGTCTGTATAGACTGTCCGATACCTACTACAATATATCAATGGGAGACTTCCGAGGATAAAGTGTGTGGGTCACGTACAGAAAGTGTTTTTCGACGGACCCGAACATTATCTCACACCGAGAAAAAGTTCCAACATCTGATCCCTACAGACCATATTATTTCAACAAATTTCGGCACGCCGCACATACATATATACGCATATTCTACGCGTAATTATATAACAATAATTTATTTAATCTATAAACCACAGAAATGGATTGGATAACTCTTGCTTAAAAATGTAATGTTGAATAACTTCTATGTAAAAGAGTAACACGCTTTATTGCAATGCGAGTGGTATAAAAAAATATGACTATTCAAAAGTGCTTTTATATTAAATTTATTCTAATATTATAATATTATTAATTCTTGTATTATTTTCTATTGGGACAATATACCTAGATAGTACCAATGTAGCAGTAATCATAATTAATGCACCAACCCTCAATACAGAAATAGGATGAAGTTAGATCATTTGATCTATCAGATTCAGAGACCAAGAAGAGGTCTAACTGAGTAGTAGTCACCATTATAAATCCCATCCGCACTGTAGAGTTGATTAGTCAGGTGATGCCTAAGCGCCGTAGTAGGTAAGTACCTACTATTATATATTACTACTATGTCACTGATATATTCATTAACTAAATCTCAATGAAGATTAATGTAACAAATATACTAAGAAAACATTTTTTATACATAATATTCGTATAAATATTAATCAATTATATATACAGCTATGTAAAGCTCTAGGAGCTATAGTCATACGAAAGCAGTCAATTCCATCTGTTCAAAAGCAATAAGACAATGTGCGTCAACATTTTAGGATCGCGAAAAAGCCATTTTAAAGTTAAATTAGTTCAAAGTTAATATGTTTTAAATTTCGCTGTTTTCATTTATCCATACCGCGTGTTAGTATTCTGATCCTACATACAAAATTTAAATCTTATCAATATCTAATTTCGTACTACTAGTATGACCTACATTTCTTTTGTAATTTTTACTAATAAATAAATTTTAAAAGTTATAGGTAAAAAAGTAGTTCTTGTCTAAATAGACAGCCAGTTTGCGCTTCGACATGACTTTAGGATTTTATTATATGTATTATATTAAGATAAAGAAGATAAAGATAATAAAGATTAGCATATAGAGAAGATAAAACCTGTTTATGGTCAAACCTGCAAAAACTATTGGATGTGCGTATTCAAATCGTGTTTGACCATTTCCATTTAATTGCTTGTTGTAGGAAATACATTGCTTCTACGTTAACAATTGATATGTGCAATGTCAGTGAATCCCAGAGCAGTACAGCAACCGTTTGGAACCCACAAGCAATGCACTGGATTAATACAAATGCATCAATTACATTTAATTAATAGCACTATAAATTTCATTATTATTCGTACAAAAACCTGTATTTTTAATTAAGTCACTAAGTAGAAACACGTGGATCAATTACGATTTCATC